AATGAAGATCTTTTTGATGAAATATGAGAGCTTTCTGTCCCTCCAAAGATTAACGTCATTGCGACTTTTAAGGCCCAGAAAGGTAGTAAAGACACCGTTAAAATAGTCCATGTGACTACAGTAGTTCAACCTTAATGTTATGAAGCGACGAGAATAGTATTTGTGTGTAAAAACCCCGCCAAATAACGACATTATTCAACAATCTCTTCTCTTCAACGTCATTCTCCTACGCTGTTGATCTAGTGTGAACAGTGCAGCTTCTGGGTTCTACATCAGAACGTAGGCTTATTATTGGCCGACGCTGGTCATGTGTGATGCTGGCCAATAATAAGCCTACATTCTGACATAGAACCTAGAAGCACTGTGCTGTTTACACTATCGTCAACAGTGTAGGAGAATGACGTGGAAGAGAAGAGATTGTTGAATGTAGTTTGTAGCTGGCTTATACTTTCGTTTTGTATTTGTTTTATTTTATGTTATTAAACTTGTTGAATGTTCGCCGGTTCACGCCTCCTTCTTCCCATAACAACTGAACCTCGTTACATCGTTATTTGGAGGGTTTTTTGCACATAAAAAGTATTCTCGTCGCTTCATAATTTTAAGGTTGAAATACTGTAGTCACATGGATAACAATGTTTTTACTAGCTTTCTGGGCCTTGAAAGTTTCAATGACGTTGCGTTCAATGGAGGGAGAGAAAGCTCTCTGATTTTATCAAAAATATCTTTATTTGTGTTCCAAAGATGAACGAAGGTCTTACGGGTTTAAAACGGCATGAGGGAGAGTAAATACTAACAGAATTATCATTTTTGGGTGAACTAACCCTTTAACTTGCTCATGAACTAATGGGCTGATAATTTTAAACAAGTGGCTTAGTTTCCCTTTTATTTGTCTATCACCTAATCTAATTCCACTGTCATAAACGAATTTAATCGAATGCCAAAAATCATTAATCTTGGACATTTCATTACTCAACAAGAGATTTTCAGAGATTGCAGTTTTGTTGGGAGTTTGTTCTGTCCCAAACCAAGTGTTTTTCATGTCTTTTGTGTAATCCAAATGTAAAGCATAAGACAGACCTAAATAGATGCAAATTGCATGAGGCAGATTCTGCAGATTATTACAATACCTCTCTCAACAATGATGGCAGTAGACACTGGGCAAAGGTTGAGAGAGAGATTCTTCTTCGTCAATGACAGTCAGCACCCCAACTGATACGTGTGCCCAGGCTTCATCAACATCACAAACCTGAAGGAAACCAAACAATAAAAATATTACAACAGGGAAAAGTGAAAAGGCATGATTAATTGTCAGTTATCTGTCCTGCATACATGTGTGTATTGCTCATGCATGCGCAGCCAGTTGTTATCCTTTGAACAAATCGATAAGATTTAGTAAATACAAAATATTATTTTTATATTATTTTATATAAATATTATTACAAAAAACTGGAGTCACATGAGCTAATGATTTCTTTCATTGCTGCCTATTGAGGAACAGAAAGGATTTTATTAAAAGTATCATAATTTTTTATCTGAAGATGAAAAAAAGTGTCATAATAATAAAAAATTAAGGCTGCAGGAAACTCACCCCTGTATTAATTTGCTGCATAAGATCATCAAATTTCTCTCCAATGCTTCTTGAAGACTTGTGACAAAACGTGGTGTGTAGCGATCCACAGCACCATAAAAGTTACTCTGCAGTCTGCAGATCTGTGGTGACTATCCTGTCAAACTCTGCAAACACCTACAACACAGGCACAAAAAAAAGGCATGGGACAGTGTGGACATTTTTCAATGCATGGTCAGGCCTACAGGCCAAGTCTAAAGCCAAACCTAAACAGAATGTGGTTTCTCATGGTGGAAAAAGGGATATGAATAAGTTCTTACTGGTCTCTCTGTAAAAAGAGCTGGCCACTGCTCCATCTGCATCCACAATCTCACATCTTCGCATTGAGAAGGTCTGGTCCATCTTTGATGCAATCAGAGGTTCCACTAGGATAACATCACTTAACATTACTAAGTTTCTCATCTTGTTAAAAGATGGCTAATTTTATCAGCAGTGATAAAGCAGTTGAGTTTGAGTGAAGAAAATCACTTTTACAGTGCTTGCATTATATCCTCAACTGTTCTCAAAAGTGTGTGATTTTCATGTTTATTAATAGTGTTTTATACTATAATCCCATGAATATGGATGGTGTTGTGCAGGGAGAGAGTAATCTTCAGCACACAGACATCTACATATTACTCACGCAACGCTTTATGAAACTTTAAAGGCATTGTGATGCTGCATTAAATATGATGAAGGTGAGCTCATAGATGAACAGGTATAAAGACTGATGACAGCGATTCTGTGTTCATAAAACACCCGTCCCGTCCCATGACAGCGCCACTGTTGTTTAAAGAACAGTTCAGTCATTTCTAAACGAGAGATCGTCTCATGAATATAATACTGGTCTGTGTTAGTTTTGCATATATGCTAATGACTCACACTTTTGTTTCA